CTTCATTACCTTCATTGACGATTGCTCAAGAAAGATGTGGGTCTACTTCATGAAACACAAAAGTAAAGCATTCATGAAGTTTAAACAATGGAAAATAGAGATAGAAAGGAAGACATGAAAGAAACTGAAATTCTTGAGATCAGATAATGGAGAGGAGTACAAATCTAGATAATTTCAAGAATTTTGTAAAGAATGGGGGATTGTACGTCAATTTACCACACCAGAAACTCCTCAGCAAAATGGTGTGGCTGAGAGGATGAACATGACTCTTCTAGAAAGATCTCGCGGTATGAAATGCAGATTTGAAGAAAAGTTTCTAGGCAGAAGCAGTTAACATGACCTGTTTCATCATTAACAAGTCACCATCTACAACGATTGATTACAAAATTCCAGAGGAGATGTGGACAGGAAAGCCGATAGATTACTCTATGCTGAGGATCTTCGGATGTCCAACCTATGTCCATGTGTAAAGTGAGCAACATTCCAAATTAAACTCTAACTCTAAGCAATGCATCTTTCTCGATTTTGAGAAGGGAGTGAAGGGATTCAAGCTTTAGGATCTTACTTCACATAAGGTTGTACTTAGCAGGGATGTCGTGTTTGATGAATCTCACATGGTGAAGTCAATCAACATGCAAGATGACAAAGTGTAAGTAGATGAAAGTGATAGAGAAAGATCGACAGTCCAAGTGGAGTTAGAAGAGTCTGAAACACCATAAGAAGAAGAATCATCTAGCAGCATACCAGAACAATAGCAATAACATGGTGAACCTTACAATTTGGCAAAAGGCAAAAAGAAGTGTGTTCACAAAGCTCTTGTGAGGTACGGCTTTGAGGACATAGTAGCATTTGCTTTAACTGTTGGTATTGGAGAAATCAACTCATTCAAAGATGCTCTAAGTGATGCACATAGTGATAAATAGATGACAACCATAATGGATGAGATAGAGTTTGTGAAAAAGAATAAGACTTGAGAGCTTGTCAAGAGGCCTAAGGGAAGGAAAAGTGATTTGGTGGAAGTAGATCTTTTCGGAAGAAAGAGACAACAATATAAAAGGAATGTGAGAGATTCAAGGCTAGGCTCATAGCAAAGGGCTACGCTCAGAAGGAGGGAGTGAACTACAATGAAATATTCTTTTCGTTAGTCAAGCACACTTCAATAAGGCTATTACTTGCTTTAGTAGTCATGTTTGATTTGGAGCTAGAACAGCTTGAGGTGAAGACATCGTTTCTTCATGGTGATCTAGAGGAACAAATTTTTATGGAGCAACCTGAAGGCTTCAAGGTGCATAGAAAGGAATATCAAGTTTGCTTGCTCAAGATATCACTTTATGGTCTAACGCAATATCCCAGGTAGTGGTACAAGGGCTTCGACTCTTTCATGGTACAGATTGGCTATTCAAGAAGTGAGTATGATTGTTGTGTTTATTTTAAAGTTCTTGATGATAACTCCCTTATTCTCTTAATGCTTTATGTTGATGACAAATTCATCACTGCCAAGAATGCATATGACATAACCTCTCTCAAGTCTATGTTAAGTTCTGAATTTGATATGAATGATCTAGGGACTGCTAATAGGATCATTGGTATGGAGATTCATAGAGATAGAAGTGCATGTAAACTTTGGGTAACTCAGAAAATGTACGTTGAAAAGGTGCTGGAGAAAGCCAAATCAGTTAGCACTCCATTGACGAGTCACTTTTAAGTTATTTGAACGGAAGTGTTCCACCACAGATGAGGAGATAGAGCTGACATCTCTAATGCCTTATGCTAACGCAGTCGGAAGCCTCATGTATGCTATGGTTTGTAGTAAGCCGGATTTATCTTATGATGTCAATATTGTTAGTCGATACATGAGTAATCCTGGCAAGGAGCATTGTAATGCAATCAAGTGGATTTTCGGATATCTCAGACGGACGTCAGATCTTGGTATGTTCAGTAGGAAGAGAAACTCTACCGAATTAGTGGCATATGTTGATTCCGACTATGCTGGTAATTTAGAAGAGCGAATGTCTGTTACAGGGTATGTATTCACACTAGCAGGTAGACCTATTTCATGGAAGGCAATGCTTCAACCCACGATTGCTTTGTCTACGATAAAGGCATAGTATATAGGAGCAGTTGAGGCTGCAAAGGAGGCGATCTGGTCAACTGGTTTGGCTCGTGAGTTGGAGGTGGAGCGAGAAGGTATTGTGCTGCATTGTGATAGTCAGAGTGTCATAAATCTTATAAAGAATCAAGTGTTTCATACAAAGACAAAACACATTGATGTGAGATATCACAAGATAAGAGAGCTTATGTCAAAAGGAATCATTTACCTAAAGAAAGTTTATACGAATGATAACCCTGCAGATATACTTACAAAGCCGGTCATTACGGAGAAATTCAAGCTTTGTTTGGACTTACTTAATATCACTCATTGTTGAGAGTGAGAGAAGCACCTCATGGCAAGTGGGGGTGCAGTTGCGTACTTTTATGGAGGTATGGGGATAAAGACATCTTCAGGATGACTCGAGAGAATTCAAGCCAAGGTGGAGATTTTGTTGAGGATTGATGTTTTGTATTTATGAGGAAATAAATCTGTCAAGGTAGAGCTAAAATGATAATTTCGAAGGATCGTTAAAAGAGCGGAGGAGTGTCTGGCGCAGGTAGACTCGGTTGACTCGCCTCTTGCAGGGGTTCGGGGGCGGTAGCCCCGAAGAAAAATTTCAGATATCCGTACATGGGATTCGATATATCTAGGATTCGATATATATCTGTACTTGGGGCATTTCAAAAATTTGTACCATCTATTTGGGATTCGATATATATTGTTGCGACTCGATATACATTGTAGCGATTCAATATATATTGTTGTGACGGGGGGTTTATTTAGGATTAAGGGAAAAACGCAGATTTCTTTGGAATTAGAGAGAAAAGAGAGGCGTGAGGAAGATAGCTATTATAACCCTATTCTCCATTGCTAGTAAAGAAGCTCTCATCTCCCATGGATGTAGGCAAGTTGCCGAACCACATATATCTTTGCATTGTGGTTAGTTGTCTCTTTCTTTTGTGTTTGTTTATTCTTTCTTGTTTTAGTGGATTGCTTTTTGTTTCTATAGGCAGTTACCTATTAAAAAGTATACTAGTAGGCATAGTTCAGCTTTGAGCACCGATAAGTGATAATATTATTTACTCTCATTTTTCTGTGAGTTTTTTTCATATGTCTTCATATACATATAATTTATATATGTAAAAAAATATGCGATTGTCCAATTTTTCAATGAGATATTTGAAAGTAAAGAGTTAACTACATCACGATTACCACTAGTTTGTGACGATGTTGTTTGCTCATTCGAAGCCAGTTGATTAAAGATCAGATGGTTGTAAACCTAGAAATATATGTAAATTATGTGTTTCTAGATACACATGGTTCCCCTCTAAGTTAGGACTTAGAAATATAAGTGGTGCTTAGACTAAAGAGTGAGAGAAACGAAATAATGAAATAGAAGAGAATTAAGTCTAAATTTTGGATCCTATCAAGATTGTATATTTAATGGCCTTGAAACAAAATTAGTGACGATGAACCCTAATATGAGCATCAAAATAAGGTATAATAAATACGCACACCATAATAACATCAAGTTTTATGTGGTTCACTTCAAAGGATTACATTTACAGGCAAAGAGACAAAGAAATTGACTAAATAATGAAGATTACAAGATTAAGTGAAAATGGTAATCCTCTAAAATATTGCCGATGGATCAAGATCACCGATCACTTTCTTCTCTTTTTCTCTCTATGCCAAAGAGGAATACCGAGAAGAGATCTTTCATGCCTAAGGCTTTTTCCTGTCTTCATATTTTTCTTCAAGAGAATCTCTCTCTCTTGGTTTCATTCTTTCTTCAAGAGAATCTCTCTCTTGCTTCTTTCATCAAGAGGCACTTTTAATCTTTTGGATTTCATGATTAAGAAGAACCTTCTTTCTTTGGTATTTCTTCATCAAGAGAATTTCTCTCTCTTGTATTTCTTCATCAATGAGCACTTTCTCTCTTAGCTTCCTATATAGTGACCCAATTTGGGTACAACAGACCAACTTACATAGAGGTCTTATATAGGTTTTCTTGGACTCCTAACTCGATCCCCAAGCAACCCATAAATATATTGATTCCCTAAAATATTAGGGTTTACATCTCCACCAAATAGAAAACAATATTAATAAAGTCTCTACAAGATATGAATAAATCATAATTTAGAAAAGAACCTTCTATGGGGGGTGATTTTGGTGTGGTCAGCCCCAATAAAGTACAATGCCAATGTTATCCTGTTATGGTATAGAGGCCTTGTTTAGGTTTTTTTGAACTCCTAGCTTGATCCCCAAGCAACCCATAAATATATTGATTCCTAACATCTCCACAAAATAGAAAGCAATATTAATAAAGTCTCTACAAGATATGAATAAATCTTAATATAGAAAAGAACCTTTTATGGGTGGCGATTTTGGTGTCGCCAACCCCAACAAAATACAATGCCAATGTCATCCTATTACGGTCTGAACAAAGGAAATAAGAGAATGGGGTTGGGGCCGTGGTGGTAGCACCCGCATACCTTAGTCATCACGTTGTGGGTTTCATTCATGATACTAATACCATCCTACTAATATTTTTAAAAAAATGGCTCATAATCTACTTGAAAAAACAGGTACGGGCATGTCTTCCCACTGAATTACCCAAAAAAAAAGAAAAAAAAGAAGAAGAAATAATACTTTGGTCCATTAAACTTGCAATTCTCCACTTAGGATCTAAATATAGCTCCAAAATGGACCTCTAACCAATTTATCTCTTCTAGCACCAAATATATAACTTCTTTGAAGAAACCAAAATGTAGCTTCAAAATTTCAAACATAGTTGGAACCAGTTCTCACTTGACATTGTGTCTAGTGATATTGCGCAAGAGAAAAATAAAAGAAAATCTTTTGCTATGTTCTAGTGAGTATGTTAGGATTTCAACCAAAGACCACAGACAATTAAGCCAAGAGGCTCAGTCCCAATATCATAAATAGAAAAACATAATTATTTTTTGGACAATCATATATTGTCTTAAAACATGAAAGCAAATAAGAAACACACATATTTATATTCATGCAAGCTTTTCTTCACTTGATTTCATGAAACCAGGAGTATAATCAAACACTATGACCTTCTCAATTGCAGCCATGAACTTTCCTGCAAATTCCAAGTGAGAAGGATGTGATGAATATGCCATGAAATCTTCAGGGCTCCCAAATGTCAAGGTGAACACATAAGTGAAGCCTTGCCTCAGGAGCTCCTCTGAACCCACATCTTGCCCCCTGTGAAACCACATTCTTCTGATCACAAATCCATTTTTACAATCAATATACTTTCGATAAATTTTTACATTAATAACTGAAATTATGTCCCAGGAATTAGGCTTCGGCTTGATTGATTGGTAGTTGATGATTGGAAAACATCTCAAGCTAGATCCCTACCTGTTGAACTACCAAAATTCTAAAAATAAAAATATAAAATGAAATGAATGGAAATGAAAAAAGATCCTACATTGTAGTTTATGATTGCTTCTGGTATTTATGTTGCATGCAACCAAAGAAATTAGGACAAGGCAAACAAAAAAGAATATCATTTAGAGTTAGGTAAAATTAGGACTTTCATCTGTGGTCGCTGACGGTGTTATCAAAACTGGACAAGAACGGCCGAGCCTGGTCAACCACCATCAAGACCCCAAACAAGTTCTCTTCAACAATACACCAAATCTTGAGAACAACCAAAATTTAGAGTAATTGATGAAAATATACTAGTACATTTTATTGTTTTGATCAGTTTTCATCAATTGAACCGGTTTGATGTCTGTCAAACTGCTAATTGAACCAGGCCAAACACTTTTTCTTGGACCTAGCAAACAATAAAGAGCTAGAAAATAAAAAATAAAGATCATACTCAACTTATATGTACTAGAAAGTAATGAAATCCCAAAATTTAACAGAGACTATCCAATTTTGGACTTGCAAATCTAAACTTTAGAAACTTAAAATCTTTTTTTTTTTTTAATACCCATCTAGTGATTCCAGAGTGGAACGTAAAATTTTAGATTAATTTTTCTCAAGGGAACATGTTGATGGGGTGCTCCTACTATACGGGCTCTTTTTGTCTAATGTTTGCGAGTAAGACTCTATAAAAGATATTTATCAGAGAGCAATCTGCAAAATGAATTGAATCCGTAAACGATGAATAGAATACATTCATTAAAAAAAAAGAAAAAGCTTATATAAGGATCAAAAAGGCATGCCACAAAAATCCATCGAAAAAATTTGTTTTGATGGTGAAAAATCTTCTAATTTATCATCGCAACCTGGAGATGTAAGGTTTTCAAAAGAAAAAGATTTTAAAATACCAAAAATGGTACATTTTATAATATATTATCTAGACTGTCCAATCTCAAAAATTTAAAATGTTTGTAGATCAGCTTAATTTGTACTATTTTTTTAGTTTTAAATTTTATAATTAGTATGAAGTAATTTTTCAGGTCACCATTAAAAAATATTATACCAAAATTACATCTTTCGATTAGCTTTTAGAGCTGCACCTTAATTAGATTAAGATTGACACCTTATACAAACCACGCTTAAAAAAACATAAAAGATGAATTGAAGTATCCACTATTAACGATGAGTAAAAACAGAAATTTTATGGATACCAGTAATTATAACTCTATTAGAAGATATGATAAATCATCTTTCCATGTAACTTATCAAGTTGTCACCCAAGATCTCCACCGTCCATTTCTGATGCAAATGTATCTAGATGCATTAGTGAGTCGCAACGTGCTTTTCTATGTGGGAATCACCGATCCAACCTATACGCATTTCCAAGTTGATTGGACGGTAGTGATCTAAGTGTGTATGTGT